CCTTTCATGGAACACCGGATTAGAGGCAATGTGGAGAGTTGCTTGATTGTCACAATACATCTTCATCTGTTGGATCTCACAAAATTTCAGTTATTGAAGGAATTGTTTTACCCACACTAGTTCACAACTGAGAGATGCCATTGCTCTATATTCAGCTTCAGCACTAGACCGGACCACTACATTTTGTTTCTTACTTTTCCAAGAAATAATATTGCCTCCAATGAGAACACAATATCCTGTAGTGGAGCGTCTGTCCATAGGGGATCCAGCCCAATCAGCATCACAATACCCAGATATTTGGGTATCCCCTTTATCTTCATACAGCAGACCTTGTCTTGGAGCTTTTTTGAGATATTTTAGGATGTGAACGACAGCATTCCAATGATCAGTACGCGGATTTTGCATAAATTGACTCACAACTCCAACGGCAAAAGGTAGGTCAGGTCTGGTAATGGTGAGATAAATGAGTTTTCCAACAAGTCTTCTATATCTCTCAGGATCAGAGAGCGGTTCACCTTGATCCGCCATTAATTTCTGATTTGGATCCATAGGGCTGTTTACTGGTCTACAATCAATCATGTCTGTTTCTTTCAGGATATCTAAAGCATACTTTCTTTGGGAGACTACGATGCCTTCTTTTGATTGAGCCACTTCAATCCCTAGAAAGTATTTGAGACAACCAAGATCCTTAGTTTGGAAGTGATTGCATAAATGTTTCTTTAGCAAAAAAATTTTATCAACATTGTGAGAAATCAAATAGTATTTTAGGAAAGAATAAATAAGAAAATTTGTATATTTCCTTGTAATCTGTACAGATTTGAATAATTAGGAACAATCCCATAAATCAAGGGATCCTAGCATAAAATAGAGTTATTATATTTCCTAAAATAGTTTAGGTCTCTTGTATATATCTTATATCATCTCTTTGTATTGAAATAATAAAAAATCATATTTCAGTTAATCTATTTTTCCAGATGGTATCAGAGCCAAAGCCTAACATCTTTCCGGTTATTGTCATGGGCCAAAAGTTGCCCTTTAGTTGGGTCAAAAGTACCCTTTGCCTGGTCCGGCAGACTTCGTTGGAGGGGGTGTGTTGAAAGTCCCACATCGCCTACCTCATATCATTTGGTATGGTTTAAATACATATTAGGCTACTCCACATATTGTCAATTGGTTTTATGTTGGAACCTTAACAGAAATCATAGCAGAAGATTCAACAAGTTCTTCATTATTTTTTCCTTTGAGAGTTGGAACACGAAGCAGTCTTGTAGTCAAACTTTCCATAGAAAGAATTTCTTATTCAATTAAAATTTGATCTCTAACATGATCAAATTCTGAATTCATAGCCCGAAGAGTTATAACCATATAGAATTTATTCAATTTTTGCTTTATCTCCTCTAACAAATCCACCTCTAGGAACATCTTTAATTCTTCAACTGCTGATTGAGCTTCAGCAATAAAGGTCATCATATCTTTATCCACTTGCTTGAGAGAGGCTAATCGATTAGCGGAATCATAGAGGCGTTGGATATCATTTGCGAAGATATTCTGAGCTTTTTTCCAGAAAGAGTTACATGTTTTGAAGGATCTGAGAGTGTTCAAAATATTTGGTTCTACTGATTGCCACAGTAGAGCACATAGTTGATAATCAAGCTTTTTCCATTGTTGAGCCTGATCTTTTGGTATCTTACTTCCGTCTTCTTCTAAATGATCGTGAAACCCTTGTCCAAGGAACCAAAGTTCCACTGAAGAGGACCAAGATATGTAATTTTTTCCATTTAATTTCTCAGCCGTTATCGTGGGAGTTCTGGAAAAGGAGGTTGTGGGTCCTGACGACATGTTTTAAATAATGTAGATGTAAGATGGAGACAATGGAACCTGTAAGAAAGAGAACACCCAAGATAGCCAGAAGGTTACTGGAAGGTGGTCGGAAAGTCATCGAACGGTAGCAAAAAAAAGGTGACTGGACGGGGGACTGACGGTTGCTGGAAAGTGGCCGAAAAATGGCCGGAAAATGACCGGACGGTGGCCGGAAAATGGCGGACGATGACCGGAAAATGGCCGGACGGTGACCGAAAATGGCTGGAAGGTGACCGGAAATGGCCGGACGGTGACCGGAAATGGTCGGACGGTGGCGGATGGTGGCCGGACGGTGGCCGGACAGGCAGAGCAGGACCAACCTGCTCTGATACCAAGTTAAGAGAGTAAAGAGAGTGAAAAGAAGATTTCTAAATTTGTGGGATGCATTACTCCACTCTATGATCTCATATATATATATATAGGATTACAACATTTAAAACAACAACCATCAACTACTAACCACTAACCATTAACCACTAACTAATAATAATTCTAACAAGAAAGAAACAAAAAATGAACAGTACCCTCTTTTCATGCAATTCTTCTATGTTGCATGCTTCAATCATGTCTTAATTTGAAGAAGGATGCTGCTTTGAGGGGTTTAGTAAAGATATTTGCTGCTTGGTCTTCTGTTCTACGATGACTCAGCTCTATAATTCCTTTGTCAACCAGCTCTCGTGGGGAAATGGAACTTACATTAATATGTTTGGTTCTGCTATGAAACCCAGGATTTTTGCAGAGTTTAATATCTTAGTTGTTGTCACCATACATTCTAGTAGCTCCATTGTGGAATGGTACCTGAAAGGAGTGGAAGATCTTAGTCCCATCGAAGGCTAAGTCCTTGGAATATTCGTTAGTAGGATTAGAATCAACCAAGTTCTCATAGCAGAGTGTAGCAACTGCTTAGTCTGGTAAGTTTGTGCTGCAATTTCTTAATTGACTTACTCTTAACAGGGGTGGAACTAGGGGTGGCATGGGCATGTCATGGCCAAAATTTTTATTTCACTTTTAAAATTATATATATAAATGTTTTAAAGTTTTTTTCTTTAATAAAATTTATACTGCCCCCCTCAATTTCTACTTCTGCCTCCATCTCTGCTCTTTGACTTTGTTCCAGACTGGTAGGTAGCTTGTGTGCGGGGTGAAAGGACAAGAACCTGCTGGCATTGATACTTTCAACTTCATTTCATCTAGAATTCTGCACATTCAAACAGCTTGATAGGCACCGAAAGTTGCAGCTACATAATCTGCTTTAGTGGAAGAAAGAGTAACTATTGGCTGCTTCTTGGAAACTCCAAGCAAGTGCACCTGAACTTAAGTTGAGGACATAATCTGTTGTGCTTTTCTTATCATTCATGTCTACTGCAAAATCAATGTCTACGAACCCAATTAATTCACTTTGATCTCCCTTCCTGTAGAACAAACCAAAGTCAGTTGTGCCTTAGAAATATCTCAAAATTCTTTCGGCTGCAAGGTGTTGCTGCATATGGTTCCTCATATACCTACCGATAATGTCCACACTGCATTCTGTCTAGTGACTGTAATATGCTTAAGACTTCGAACAAGTTGCTTGTATAATGTACTGTTTACAAGTTTCCCACCTGAATTCTTAAACAATTTTGGATTTTGCTCCATTGGTGTTCCTCGATTACAATAAATCATTTGAAATTTGTTGAATACCTCATTAACATATTTCTTTTGACAAACGCATATGTCACTTTCTGATTGAGTAATCTCCAAATCAAGAAAATGATGAAGCTTTCCCAATTTTGTCATACTAAACTTTTTCTCTATGGATGATTTAAAACACTTTATCAATGCTAAACTATTTCTAGTAAACATCAAATCATCCACATACAATCATCATTCTGACACCATCATGCTTCATATAAAATGCATGTCATATGGACACTTAAAAAACCTTCTTCAAGAGATATGAATCAATACAAATTTCTTGTATCTTGCTGGTATTCTTTCACCACAAAACCAATATCTTGTTCGGTAATTATGAGGGAAGAAACACTGAAGAAATATTTGTTAATAGGTCACAAGTCAAACATAGAAGAAATTTTGACCTTCAATCTAAAACTCACATAATGTGACCGAAGTTTCCTATTTTTATATAATATAAGACTCCAACTTGCACTTGAACTTCAACAATTTCCTCCTCATGTGAGTTCTTTCTACATTGATACACTTCCCTTGAGCAAAAACAATTATTAATCACGAATAGTGATTCTTATTTGTATTGTTGTTTATCGCGATGAGACATGTTTGAAATCCTCTTAGGAAGGTGTTATGAGGGAAGAAAAATGTAATAGAACACAATTGATGCATCATGCAATAATCAAGTTTTATTATTGTATTTATTACTTGATGGTATTATTGGGATAAAAGTATTTGATAGTACTGCTTTCTTGATGTTAAAAAGTGAGAAATAATTTGAGACAGAATTATTTAAAATGAGACAGAGGGAATATTTAGCAAGTATACAGCTCCTAAATAGGAGATACGGTTTCTATCTCAAATTTTAAATGCTTTTGTTTCTAATATTGTAAAAATTTAATAGGAAGAAAATATTTCTGGATTGCTTTTGGAAAATCTTTACTTGAATAAATTTGACATGAATTACCGTCTCTAAATATCAGGAAAAAAATGAAAATAAATCAGAAAATTTTATACGAATTCCTACATAGGGGATACTTTCCAATATCAACAATATTTATATTTGCATGTTGTCTTGAATGTGGTGTTGGTGGTGAGTAACTTGTTGCCTGGTATTTCTGCGGCACCTAAAAATATTTGTTGTCAAGTATTTCTGCCTTACCCTCAAATTCATGCCTTAGCATAGTTCTCACTTGACAACCGTAAGAAATTAAAATCATCTTACAGGTTGTGCGGTCTAGTCATGTTAGCTTTTCTTTCTATTAATCAATATTGTTTATGACTTTTCCTTTCATTGTGCATCTATAATTAAGATACTTTTCTTGTGCACTTTCTTGTCATATCTCACTTATATTCTGCTAAAGCAACCTATTTTGCTAACCAAATGTAGAAAATATGGGCATTACAAATCTAACATGATATATACACCAAGCATGCTTATTTTTATCAATTTGTTGCAGGAAGAAGCGTATTACATGATATATACACCATCTGATCCACTTCTTTTTGTTGCCGTGAAGGTAGGTTTCCCTGTCAAGTTTCTTAAAACAACTATTGCCTCTATTGAACGATGGCTACATTATTTCATTTACTAATGACGTTTTTTCTCTGATAAAATTAATTTTATAGCTGATTTGACTGGAAACTGTTTGAAATGCCAATTCAAGGCATGATCCCCACAGTTTTCCTGATTAGTATGTGAAGCCAGTGTTTAAAAGGTAAACATAATTAATTTACCCTTTCACTGCAGGATCAGAATGGAATTTTGCAAATTGCTGACGATGTAAGTTGGCACCTGACACTCTGTTACAGAATTTGATCACTGTTTCTTTTCTCAGATCCCATGTGTCGCAGTTAATTTGCCAATGTGGTTTTCCCAAACAATTAAAACTTCCTAACAACTTCAAGCTGTCCGTTTAGTAGCGGTCCTTATTTGCTTGGCACTGGTGTATCCTATTTGTAGAGATGCTTAATACACTCACATTATTTGTCAATAATATCATAAGCTTTAATATCAATGTTTGTGCCCGAGTACGAGAGAAGGGAGATAAAATTTCTGATTTCAAGTTCACAAGAAGTTGCTAATCTCAACTTTTGTGAACAGGACCTGCTTGAGGATCCTGCTATCACCAGCGCTATAGACGAAGAGACTGAATTTAATGCCTTAGTGGTGTGTGGTTTTTTTATTCTTTCAAAGTGATATTCTTTTTGGTTACGTTTGACTCCATTCATTTGCGTGGTTTGAGTTGTCTTACTCGCAGGAGGAAGAAGCTGCGCTCCTTGACGCACTGTTGGGTGATGAAAGATAACCCCATACTTTCTGCAATAGAGTTGTCCCACACTCCCACTAATCCTTTGCGTTTGGCGGGTTCAGTTGCATGTTGAAGAAAAAAGCTACTATTTGTAACTCGTGCCTTAACCCAAACCAAAAAGTTATCAATCATAAAACAAACATGCAATTAGTATTTTTCCTCTGGATTGTCCCGGCTTGGTCTGTTTGCATATCAACAAATATCTGGGGATAGAACGGCTCCTTTGTCTGTTTGATCAATTTTGTATGTATGCTTACTCCTTGTTTTTTGGAGATTAATTTTGATACATGGTAAATGTAATTTTTTTATCATGACAAACCATGATTGAATAACAATTTAAAAGTTTAGACATAAAAAATAATAATGCATATACAGATTTAAATATTATTGACTTCTCATTTTTTTTTTTTTACAGTTGCTTTTCATTTTCTTCATATTCCATCTTCTTACATACATCTAAGTGGCAAAATGGATTATTTTACTGGACTTAGATGGTCGGCTATTGGCATGGGGTTAAAATAATATAATATTGTAAGTATAATAGTTAAAAAATAATTAATATAATATAAACTATTTATTATCTATTGTCAACCACATAAAGTTAATAAATTTTATATTATAAATAATAGAAGAGAACAACTAATATAACAATAAATGTTATGTAATAAATATTAAAAGGAAAAATTAATAAAAATGGATTTTTTATTATATAATATTTAAATTAATTAAAAATATTATAATTTAATAATTGTAAAAAGTATTACATGATATATTTTGAGTTTTTATATTTTTTTCTTATTTATATTGACAAAAATTATCTAAGAGAAGAAATAAAATCAATATAAAAAAGTTTGAAGTTAATGTTTTAAAACATGTTACTTCAATTAGCATATAAAAAACGTTACAAGCTAATGAAAAAAAAATCATACTTGTCAGATTCTACTAGTAAGACCTCTCAACTGATAAAAAAAAAAAAAAAAAAAAAAAAAAAAACTTATAACTAGTAGTAAAGTCTTGTCCCTAAATATGATATTCATCAATGCACATTGTTTAGATCATACTTACCCTATACCTCAATCATTCCAACTGAATTTTTGGATATTTTTAAGTTGTTAGGTTTGAGCATGTATTCGTTCTTGCGCAACTTTTCTGTTTGTAGAAAAAAAAATCACGAATCTAGTTATTTTTACTACATATATGTATCAGTTCTATCTTAAAAAAATTAATCATACTCAGAGCATTAAAATTTTTTTCGTCTTTAATTATAAGATCTCTCCACTACATCCAATAAAGTGATTAATTTTTATAATAGTTTATTAATAAAGGAGATTTTTTTCTATAATAGTTTATTAATAAATGAGATTTATTTCTATAATAGTTTATTTAATATAAGAATTTTCTTTTAGTTTTATTCTTGATATATTAGTAACTGTATTTCATCATTCTTAAATTACTATAAAAATTAAATTTTTTAATTGTATTAGTTATTTTTTTATCATAAAAATTTGGACACGCACCACACTACACACTAGTCATATACTTGCATAGTTTCTAATTAAATCCACAATCAACAAATGTTTTGAATTAGATGCGAAACTCCGATATATGAATTTTCAAACGTACAGTAATCTTAGCATCAGTAGGCTTACTAAACTCCAAAAAGTGAGGCTGGTTTTGGTCACCATCACAAGCCCAAACCAAACAAACACAAATCAGTCAAGCGATCACACTGAGCGAACAAAACTGCCCCAACCATAACATAACCATTTCTGCATCAACCCACACACTCACTCTTCACAGTGAGAAGATGAGGATCAAAACGCTGCGTTTACCCTTTCTCCTCTTTCTCTTTCTCTGCTCCCACCTCACCTTCGTCCTCTCATGGAAGAAAGAGGAATTCCGAACCTGCCATCAAACCCCTTTCTGCAAGCGAGCCCGATCCCGCACCCCCGGCTCCTCCTCCCTCATCGCCACCGATGTCACCATCTCCGACGGCGACCTCACCGCCAAACTCATCCCCAAATCCGAACCCCTAGCCAAACCCTTGATCCTCACTCTCTCCGTTCATCAACACGGCATCCTCCGCCTCAAGATCGATGAAGACCCCTCCTTCTCCCCTCCCAAGAAACGCTTCGAGGTCCCCGATGTCATCGTTTCAGAATTCGCCTCCTCCAAGCTCTGGCTTCGGCGCCTCTCGGAGGAAGATAACGGCCTCGCCTCCGCCGTCTACCTCTCCGACGGCCAATCCGCCGTCCTCCGCCACGACCCGTTCGAGCTTTTCGTCCGCGACGATCAATCCGGCGACCGTGTCATCTCCCTCAACTCCCATGGCCTCTTCGACTTCGAGCAACTGACAGACAAATCCGAAGATGACAACTGGGAGGAAAGCTTCCGCTCCCACACTGACCGTAGACCCTACGGTCCCCAATCCATCTCCTTCGACGTCTCTTTCTACGGCGCCGATTTTGTATACGGCATTCCCGAACGCGCCACCACACTCGCTCTAAAACCCACCAGAGGCCCAAACGTCGAAGAATCGGAACCCTACCGTCTCTTCAATCTCGATGTCTTCGAGTACATCCACGATTCCCCTTTTGGCCTCTACGGATCAATCCCCTTCATGGTTTCTCACGGCAAAACCAGGGGTAGTTCCGGGTTTTTCTGGCTCAACGCGGCGGAGATGCAAATCGACGTTCTTGCCCATGGCTGGGAAGCTGAGTCTTCCGAGTCTCATATCGCGCTTCCTTCTCACAGAATTGACACGTTTTGGATGAGTGAAGCTGGTGTTGTGGACACCTTCTTTTTCATTGGTCCACACCCTAAGGATGTTTTACAACAGTACACCGCGGTCACCGGAACTCCGGCGATGCCGCAGATGTTTTCAATTGCTTATCATCAGTGCCGGTGGAATTACCGTGATGAGGAGGATGTTGAGCATGTGGATTCTAAGTTTGATGAGTTGGACATTCCTTATGATGTTTTGTGGCTTGACATTGAGCACACTAATGGTAAGAGGTATTTCACTTGGGATAGAACTCTTTTCCCGCACCCTGAGGAGATGCAGAAGAAGTTGGCTGATAAAGGGAGGCACATGGTGACCATTGTTGATCCTCACATCAAGCGGGATGATGATTATCATTTGCACAAGGAGGCGTCGCAGAAGGGGTATTATGTTAAGGATTCCAGTGGCAAGGACTTTGATGGTTGGTGCTGGCCGGGTTCCTCGTCGTACCCTGATACTTTGAACCCGGAAATTAGGTCATGGTGGGCTGATAGGTTCTCTTACCAGAATTATGTTGGTTCTACGCCTTCACTCTACATTTGGAATGACATGAATGAACCTTCTGTTTTCAATGGGCCAGAGGTATGTCAATTCATTCCAACATTCCCTTTTATTGCCTTATTTAGGGTTATGGTAGGGAAGCGGAGTGTGCATTTTCAATGTTTTAGAGGCTGCTTCGAAACAGAATATAAACTGTGTGCATGAATGAATTCCCTTTCACCATCTATTTACATGATAGTTATGAATGGGCTGCATGATGGTCTTATGAGCTTCAAAAATGATGCAAGGTTTGTAATAATTTAGCACAATATTGACTTCTAATAATCATATAGGCCTCATAATTTAGGATTAATTACTATTAAATATATATTATCTTTAACACAAGAAAATGATGTATCTAGATTAGTAGAGGTTAATATCATGATCAACCAACTTATCAGTCACACCATCTTGGTTAATATCGATTAGTGGTTTTGGTGCTCATTGATAGGTTGGCTGTTGTACAAAAGTTCACCCAAGGAGAAAGAGGAGAATGAGAGTATGATGAATAAAAATAAAAATTCTGTATAATCTCATAATTTGTGGGAGATTCCAAAATTTCGCTGAGTCCTGGTGAAACCAAACCAACACTGATAAATAGTTCTGAAAGAAAAGAGGGAATAGCTGACCAACTTGTTGGTGATCCTGTAAATGTGCTGCAATTGTAATATAGGAATCCTATTTCCGGTTGCTATTATCTTATGTCTGTACGAATGAATCCTCGTTTTGCATGATGTCTATTTATATCTGTTTAAGTTTTTTGTCACTTGAGAAGCAGAGTCAGGATCTATGGGTTGCATGTGATCCACATGTTCATTGTGCTAATATGCTCCGTAAGGATTTTTTATTTTAAAATTTCCAATGCTCACTTAGAGTTAGGGAAACTGAAGATATGATTGCACACATTGTATTCAGGTGACAATGCCTAGAGATGCTCTACATTATGGAGGTGTGGAACATCGAGAGCTGCATAATGCCTATGGATATTACTTCCACATGGCAACGGCTGAAGGTCTACTGAAGCGTGGTGATGGGAATGACAGACCATTTGTTTTGTCGAGAGCATTATTTGCTGGAAGTCAAAGGTATGGAGCAGTTTGGACTGGGGATAACACTGCCGATTGGGATCACCTAAGAGTTTCTATTCCTATGGTTTTGACCCTTGGTCTTACTGGGATGTCCTTCTCGGGTCAGTATCATCCTTATCATGATGTATTTGTTATATCATTATTATTTTCTTTGCATATTCATAGGCAATCAATAAACTTGTTTGCATGATTTAGAAAAAAATCGTCCCTTTTGTTCATTTATTTGATCTTCTTCTTATCTCATGCACATAATGCAGGTGCTGATATTGGTGGATTTTTTGGGAATCCTGAACCTGAGTTATTGGTTCGATGGTATCAGCTGGGAGCTTACTACCCTTTCTTTAGGGCCCATGCCCATCATGACACAAAAAGACGAGAACCGTGGTTGTTTGGGTAGGGCTGCTTTACTTTGAGATTTCTTTGTCCCAAATTTAAGCCATGACAGGTTTAGGGTTTAAGATATCACTGCTTTACTTTCATTTTATACTTATTTCCCAACAACTAAATATAATTCTTTTACTGTTCATTTCTTTGTTTAAGAGCTAACATTTTCTAAAAAACCAGTGAAATAGTTCTTCAATAGTGTATATTAAATCAGGCTAATATCTATCAAGGGATGAAACTTCCAACTGAAATACTATGCAAATCTTAGATGTAAATGAAATGGAGCTGAATTATATATCTATATTATAACTTCTAATTTGTGTCACAGAGATGATTGTTCACTGAAATCGACAAATAACTTCCATGTGGCTTCACCTCTCCCCCACATGCATGGGTTAATAAGTGGCAATAATGTTTGAATTTATAAAATTTGAATTTGATGTACCTGCACTATAAGTTTCTATTATGTGCCTTGATTATCACAAATAGCTTGAACTGTGTATGTATCTGTTTGTCAACATTGTAAATTGATCGTCTTTATGATATTGCAGAGAACGAAATACAAAATTGATTAAAGATGCTATACATGTTCGTTATGCACTCCTCCCATATTTCTACACATTATTCAGAGAAGCAAACACTACTGGTGTTCCTGTGGTCCGTCCACTGTGGATGGAATTCCCTTCTGATGAAACTACTTTTAGCAATGATGAAGCTTTCATGGTTGGGAGCAGCCTTTTAGTGCAAGGAATCTATACTGAGGTGTTTTAATCAAATTTCATATACATATTTGTTTTCCTTTGCAAATTCATTTCCTTCTATTTTTGTGATCTTTGACTAAAGCTTTGAGAATGGTCAATTGCTGGCAGCGAGCTAAGCATGCATCTGTATATTTGCCCGGAAAACAATCTTGGTATGACCTAAGATCCGGAACTGTGTACAAGGGAGGGGAGACACACAAATTGGATGTTACTGACGAGAGCATTCCAGCTTTCCAGAGAGCTGGAACCATTATTACAAGGAAAGACCGGTTTCGGCGAAGTTCCACTCAGATGGCAAATGATCCCTACACTCTGGTATGTATTTATGTTGCTTTACCGTAATCCTTTATTAAATATGCCTAATGCCAGCTGTATCACATGGGACATAATTCTTTCCTTTTATGTTATTTTACTAGGTATTGGTTTATGTCTTTCTATTCAAAGCCCTTTGTTGTGATACACATATATACATATATCACAATAATGTTTATGCTAGTTAGCCCCTCATGCTGCTTAGCATCATGCCATCAGCTTGGCCATCTTTGAACATTGTATCACATCTTAAGCAAAATATATTGCATTTTGATATTTGTGTTGCTCACTTGTCTATGATTTGAGCTAAGATACTGAATGGGTATGTGTGCAATTGTGTTTCATCTATTTTATTCTGTTATGAAGATGTGTATTACAAAACCAAAAACTCAAATGACTTTATTCTTTGAAAGAGTAATTCCATGTCTGCATGTGTATAAATAACATCCGAGTTACATGTGTATAAAAAGCACTAGAATATTCAGTATTTGAGTAACTTGATTGCTTATTTGTTTGCATTCCAACCATAAAAGGACAGACTTGAGATTGAGACTGTGAGTTGGGATATGCCGTTTGGCCGTTTAAGTAAATCACGATAAATGTTATGACTTTTTTATTGACAGGTTATAGCTCTGAATAGTTCCCAAGCAGCTGAAGGTGAACTCTACATTGATGATGGCAGCAGCTTTAATTTTCTGCAAGGGGCCTATATTCATAGACGTTTTGTTTTCTCGAATGGGAAACTTACTTCTATAGACCTGGCACCTGCTTCAGGTAGCAATAGGCGTTATCCATCAGATGCTTTCATTGAGAGGATTATCCTGCTGGGACATGCTACTGGCTCAAAAAATGCACTCATTGAGCCATCAAATCAAAAGATTGATATTGAACTTGGCCCCCTCTGGTTTCTGAGGGCACGTGCACCAGCTGTAGTGACTGTACGCAAACCTAACGTCCGTGTTTCAGAAGACTGGACTATAACAGTTATTTAACATTTCTGGTGAGGGGGGATTTAATGTTCAATGCTACGAATAGTGCAAAACAAGATTTTGTTTCTCTAGCTGAGTTGAAATGAAGTTCACCTGCAAAGTTGGGGCAAGGAGAAAGAAAAGCAGTAGTTGACTAATGTATATGCACCAACTCAGTTTGAGCGGCTTATTTAATGTAGGACTTCATAACTTGAAAGAGTAATATTTGAATGTTGTCTAAAGGAATTGTATTGATGACGATAAATTTGTATCATCTGGAATGGTCTTTCCTGCTTTAGGAAAAGTTTATGTGAGAAATGCAATAACTTAGTCGTTAGTTTATACAGGCTGCAAAATCTAATTAACCATTCATGAGTAATGAATTGTTTATTTTAATAAATAAAACGAATTCAACTAGGAAGCCTGAGTATGAGCATAAAGCCAAGACTGAAAACAAAGGAATTTGGATAATTTTTACTGGGTAATTACATTAGCTATGAATTTTATATTGGAGATATTGATAATAAAAAGTGTTTTGCATTTTTCTTCAAGAGATGATACTCTCAATCAAGTAGCACTTTGGCGCTCTTTTGCTCAGATTTCAAATATTTAGTTAAGATATCAAAGAGCAGTTATTCCTACCTCTAGTTACCACTGTCCAACAATATTTGACATAAAAGTGTAAGCAAATGAAATGTGTAGTTTAGATAAAGATAAAATGGTTCATCATTGAAGAAAAAGCAATTTCAATTTTGGATATTATGAAATAATAAGGAACGTGATATAATTTTTTTTTATGAAGTTTTAAACTCAATATTATATGGATAAACTTTTGTATTACTGCAATAGTAACATAGTAACATGATGTAATTTGAATATATATATAACATCGCAAGGTGTATATGCAATATTTTTCTTACTATTTACCATTTTCTTTATGCACATATTCTTATCACTCACGCCAAACCCGATAATTCAGATGATTTTTCCCTCTTTTATGTATAAATAGAACAGTGACTAACGTTTTTGGCTAAATGAAGGATAAATAAATGTTGTTACGAAGGAGTTGGAAATTAGTGCGCTTCACTTCTCACGTTCCACCCCCTACATTACTGAAATGGTTAATCTGTGACAAAGATGTTATTAATTGTCGTGTTCCTTTCCATTTCACACCAGTGATTAGTCACTGGATTCTCCCACTCCCTCCTTACTCCATGATAGTAATTCTGTGGAATATGAATATTTTAAATTTTACTGAATTTAGTTTGAACAGTGCAAGCAAAATGTTAGCTACAATTGAACTAGTACCATCATTTTAGCCATTCTTTTACTTTTTTTGAAATAATAAAAGGAAATCGAGTACAAAAATGTTGATCTCTAAGCTAAGCTTCTCAAAACAGGCAAGTTAAAAATAGAAATAATTTATCTCCATAATTCCTATTTAGACTTGCAATTATCCTATTGAAAATATGATAGTTGTCATCTTACGTGCTATGATGTAATTCAATAAAATAAAAGTGTTTATAGTTTCAACATAACGTAATATAAAATTAGGAATTATATTAATTTATATGTATTTTCTTGCATAAATATAAATAATAACAAATTATGTCACACTTAATAATTAGGTATAAAAATATCTGGAAAATAAGATAAAGAAATGTAAGAAAATGATTAGAATATAAGAGAATCGACGAATATTAAGAATTTTCTTTTAATAAAATATTTTTTAATAGCGTCAAAATTATTATATTTTCTCGATCTAGTTATGTTTTATCTTTGAAGTTATGCATTATATATATATATATATATATATATATATATATATATATATATATATATATATATAATTTATCAACGCACAAAATCTATCAATAAAAACATAAATTTACCAGTAAATAGATATTTTTGATAAATTATCAAGATATAAAAATATATTAATAATTATGTTATACATAAAATTTATTGACCAATTTATATTGTCTATCGATTATTATTATAAATATATAAGTGACAATAAGTTATAGATAATTATTAATAAATATGTTTTTATTAATAATTATTGATAAATATATCTGTCAATAAAATAAAATATATAATAGATATTATATTTTGTTTAATAGATATATCATTCCGTAATTATCGAATATTCTAATTAATAATAAATATATTAGTCAGTGTTACTCATTCATACATTTATTAAATGAATAATATGCATCGATAATATTATCTTATTTCCAACAACAATTTTGGGATCTCCTTCACTCACGTAACCTCCATAACATGCATAACATCATATTTATTCTTTGTGTCTAATTCAACCATTCAAATATTCAACACAATATATAGTCTAATGAAAATTTAACCAAAATTAATCACTACTTCAATTAAATTCAAATGTGATCCAAATTATCATAATATCTAAGTACCATAATAAATCTTATTTGAAAGTGTTTATATTATTTGTAAGCCTCCATATAACAACTCTTATAATTGAAAATAAAAAAAATGTGAAAATATAAATTTTTTGTAGCTTTCTTTATATCCATTGTATCATTTACTATATTAGTTCAAATATAAATCGAATGAATAAACAAACAAAGGGACTAAATCTTAGCAAACCACTTCTAATAACCATCTTTATTTTTTTGAAGTTGAAAAACCTCTTGAAATAATCCTTAAAAGCAAAAATCAATGTCCAAAAAACCAAAAGAAAGCATTAACAATAATTAAATAACAAAGAGATACTACAAAGAAAAAACTCAAATGTCAAATGTAATTTTGTATTCATCACATTAAAATCATATAAAAGAACAGTGAAAATAGAAGTTTATGAACAATATCTTCAAAAAATAAAGTGGAGAACAAATATGCATAGTCATTGTGTTTTATGTGGGGTTGTGCAAATAAAATATTTCTCCTTTATATATCCAAGATTAATATTTGGATTCAAAATTACTAAATCCCCGTTACACAAAGATAACAAAAGTCATAATCAAATTCAAACTAAAATCACATTTTCAAACATCACATACACTAAACTCGAACAAACACTCAAACGAACATTCAAAACACAAATAATTGGGCTCGCTGAATTCCTAAGAAAACCACAACTGCAAACATTTTAGAAAACCAAACAAAAACTAAAAAGAAAAACGGATAAAAAAATTTCAACAAAAAATAAATAAATAAATGGAGTAACCTCAAGTAGTTACAGTCCAGAGTCTAAATATGACCTTTTGATGGAAATGTCCCTATATTATCAGGAGATGATTTTGATGATGATTCAAGTCAACATCATTCAAGATGAATTAAGGACAAACTGAATTTAAGATATTGGTGACAATGTGAAACATTTCCCTACATCCCAAGATATGTTTTTGTTAAAGATGATGATTCAAGCAAACCCAAGATGATTCCTGAAGACTAGATAAAGTCTTAGAATACTGGTGTTGGTGGGAAAAAATCGAAAATCTGAATAAAAAATCAAAGAAGAAATTCGATGATAGTATGTTAGGGAAAATCGAGAATCTGAATCAAAAATCGAAAGAAGAAATTTGATGACTATGTGCTGAGGAAAATCGAGAATCTGAATCGAAAATGGATAGGAGAAATTCGATGACTATGTGTTAGGGAAAATCGAGAATCTAAATCGAAAATGGATAAGAAAAGTTCGATGATCATGTATTAGGTAAAATTGAGAATCGAAAATCAAAAGAAGACAGAGAAAATTTGATGAACATGATTGAGAGTAAAAATCAACAATAGGTATTGAGTGTGAAGTTAAGTTTGAGGGAAGTCAGAAGCAGTTCAAAGTACTCGATGTCTGGAATCGAGATCGAGGGAACAGTTAGCGTGCACATGGAACATGGGTAGTGGTTTCTAAACCCGTGGCTGAGATCGAAGATCGAGGGAGTAGTTATCTCGTGCATGGGAACGTGGTAGCGGTTTCTAAACCGCTCTTAGGAGGTTACGTTGAAACAATTCTATAGATAGAATGAAGCATGAAGAAGGAAGGGGAAATTGGCAGAGAAAACAGAAACACAAGTAAACAAGTCTACCGGAGAACGACGAATCATGAAGTTTCTGGCGATCTGAATTTTTATTTTCATTGACTGTTGTTACCGCTTTCTTTACTTTTCCTGATACTTTATCTTTAATGCAATTTTATTTTCCGTGCCTTTATTTTCATGTTATTGCAATTTCATTGTCCTTTACACTTATGCAATCTTAAGATTCCGCATTATATCTTTGTCTCGATAGTTTTTAATGTTTTCTTTACTTTCTCAGTAATTTATCTACTTGCACGTTTAATTTACCTTCCAGTGATATCAATTACTTTTATGCGCACTTTAATTTATGTCATTTACTCTTAGTGCAATTTAATTTTATGTATTACTTTGTTGCCTCGATGTTCTTTTACTGCTTTCTTTAATTATGTTAAATTTCATATTCTCAAGTCTTTTAATAAAAAATACAAAAAGAGTACTTTCGATTTCAATATGTATGATTTATCACGTTTTCCATGTTTCTAATATACACGTTTGGTTTCATCTATTTTGTTCGATATTTCTATATTCTCGATTTACATACATTTTTTATTGAAAAACTGTTTGCTAGCCTAAATAAAAATAATTTACATGGTTAAAATTTGGTTAGAACCTAAGTCTTTAGGAAATTGAAACAAACCAAATTTTTGCCAGAAACAACTGGATATGGAGGTACAAGTTGATAAAGTAATATTATGCATAAGCCTCCAAAGCACAAGTGTGATAAAATTCATAACATGATATTTTTCACTCTCATAATCAATTATGATGCATCAGAATTGAAGAAATAAGTTTCTCTATCATAATTGATTATACTGGTAACATAATCAATTATGACAATTCAAATTTGAAAAATATATCTATTTTGAAGAATAAATATTTTTGAATATATCCTGATTTTTATTCACGAAAATATTAATGTCTAACAACCATTTTCTGATGTTATTTTTCTATTTAATTAAGTTTTTATGAAAAATAAAAAACACACAATTACAGAATTCGAAAATACAATTTACATTCAATCAGTTTTGAGAAAAGAATTATGAGCAAGACAAACAAAGATATTTTACACCTTTTGAGAAAACCCTCTTCTCTACTGCGTTCTGTGCTCTCATTGTTAATCACACTTGTTCTTGGAGATTGACATTCTATAGGCTTCTACAATTTGTTGTCTCCATTACCCAGGTGTGACTGTTCTTATTTTTTATTACCTTCATCCTTTGTGTATTGGTGGCAAAGAAGGTGTTTTTCATCCCTAGTGTGATTCTAGGGAGGTGTTCATCCTTAGTAAGATTCTAAGGAGGTGTTTTCATCCTTTGATTTGTTCAAAGGAGGTTTTCATCCCTAGTATGATTCTAGGGAGGTGTTCATCCTTAGTGGGTTTATAAGGAGGTGATTGTCTTTTTAATTAGTTTACTTTTTACTGGTTCTTCTGCTGAGTTGATTGTAATTTGTAAATTGAATTTGAAAGATAGTGAATTGGGAGTCACTCTTGTGTTAATAGTTGATTGGGAACTGGATGTAAGGTTGACTATACCCGAAACAGTATAAATCACTGTGTGTTCTTCTCTTTCCCTTATCTCTTTTTATTTTCCTGATTATATTATCGCTTCTTATTTATCTGTGTTCAAACAAATTATTGACTGACAAATAAATTTTTAATTTGACATCTATTTTAATTTGTGCATCTACTCACCCCTCTAGATGTCATTTGTCTAACACTGTCTAACACTTCTTAATAACATAGAGACAGAGAGATTCCAAAATGATGAGAGAAAGTTTACCTATCTCTATTTTAATTTGTGTATCTATTCATCCTCTAGTTATCATTTGTTTAACACTTCTTAATAAGAGAGAGACAGGAAGATTTCAAAATGATGAGAGAGAAAGTTGACCTTCCTCTATTTTAATTTGTGCATTTATTCACCTTCTAGATGATATTTGTCTAACACTTTTTAATAACAGAGAGACAAGAAGATTCAAAAACGATGAGAGAAAAAGTTGACCTATCCGCCTAGGACTTGTATATGGATCTAGAGGTCTTATTGTAATAGGAGGTGGATTGGTCGATTTGACTGAACAGGGAGATGATGTTGTCGAACTGCATGTAGCCAGAGAGGGTAGCAAGGGTATGATGGACGCCACATACGGCGTTTGGGACCTGGATGGTGAGTTTGAGGATGAGGACGACTTCCTTGAAGAACGCTAGTTGTAGTAGATGGTGGCGAGAGCCTGGAGGTTCATGTCAAGGTCGAGATTAGATGATCCGCTATTACTTATTCAGATAAAACCTCACATCCACTTCTTATTTCTTTTCCACTGACACGGTTTGTCTCCTCCTCCCCTCACATGACGATGTGATAAGACAACAATCCTTCCTTGCATCCTCCTATTGATATATAGCGGCAAGGATATAATAATGTTTCTTAGTCACCACTATTTCTCAATAAGTTAGTAACAAAAGATTCTTAACGATAAACACAAATTATTAGATAATACATGTCACATTTAACTTAAAATTTTAAGATTTTTGTTTTTCTACTTAAATATTAACAAATTAGATTATAAATCTTTTTTTCTGCTAAAAAAATTTGAACACAAAAACTCTTTTTTATTCTGATACTACTGGATATTTTTAAAAGAGACTTTATTAAAAATAAATAATATTAATAATAAGATATGAACTCAATCTATTTTATTTTAATTTTTAATAATTTCCTCCTACAATATAATTCTTTTTTATTCTAATATTACTGAGTTATTTTCAAAAAAAGACTTTATTAAAAGTAGATAATATTAATGATATGAACTCAATCCATTTTATTCTGAGTTTTTATTAATCTCCTCCTATATTGTGATTCTCTTTGACTCTGATATTGTTATTTTATTTTTATCTAAATTTGAGTTATTTTTCTTTTTATATATTGTTGAATTTCCTTGTCTCACGTTTTGATTCCTACTTTAATTCTAAACACATTACCCCTCGTGCGCCTCTGATGCCGACAAGGTAGCAGTAATCACACGGTTGCTCTTCTCTCCTCACACAGCTCCAACACTAGCAAAGCAACAACAACCACATGGTTTCTCTCCTCCCCTCACACAGATAGCAACAACTATACGCCTTGCCTCCAACTCCGTGAGCAGCCATCGTACGTCGCCTCCATATCCACGAGTAAGAATCGTGCGTCGCTTCTAGTTCCACGAGCAAGCATTGCACATTACCTCCAACGCCACGAGTAACCACTTTGCCACCTTCACCCGGCAACACTGTCGACACTTGGAGTGACACCGCTACTCGCATCCTTTTCTCTCTATTTGATGTGCAACTACTTTTTTTTTTTTTTTTTTATTATTACATTGAATTAATGAGAATGTATTAGAATTATGCTTATTTAGGTTTAGTTGGCCTTTGTTAGCATATACTGTTTTCTCTTATTAAAATCCCTTATGTTATAGATTTTATTGTTATCATATCTTTTCTGGTTTGGTTGTTAGCATTTTATATATTGTATTTTTTATTTTATTATTTTAGGTGTTTTCTTTATATAAAGGACACTCTACATAATGATACACAATAAATATAAAAATATCTTTATTCCTCCATCTTTCTCTTTCTCTATCAGTAAAATTAGGTTTATCAACATGGTATACAGAGCGTATGTTACCTTCTTTATGGGATTGGTCCTGTTCCCATGGCGACTATCACGCCTGTCCTTTTCTCCTATTATGTCTCGGAGAAACTCAGTGATACTAATTTCTTCCTCTGGCAACAACAAGTTGAACCAGTCATTAAAGTTCATCGTCTTCAACGCTACCTGGTTAACCCTCAGATTCCTCCCCAATTTCTTTCCATCTCGGATAGTGATTTAGGGATTGAGAATCCAGAATACACCACTTGGGAAACACATGATCAACTCCTTCTTTCATGGCTTCAATCTTCTTTATTGGCCTCCTTCTTGGCTCGAATCATTGGCTGTCAACATTCGTTTCAGGTTTGGGAGAAAATCCATGCTCACTTCACCTCTCAGACGAAAGCTCGGGCTCGTCAGCTTCGTACGAAACTTCGCACCATGAAGAAAGGTGAACGAACCATTAATGACTTTCTTCTCTCCCTCAAGACGCTGGTCCACTCCCTTCGCTCCATTGGTGATCCTATCTCCGATCGCGAACAACTTAACCTTATTCTTGAAGGTATTCCGGTTGAATATGAGTCATTCCTTGCTCTCATCAACAGCAAACCAGACTTGTTTTCTCTCGATGAAGTAGAATCTTTACTTGTTGCTCAGGAAGCTCGGCTTGCAAAGTTTCATCTTGATTGTGATACGATTTCGCTTAATCTCACAAAAGCCCCTTCTCCAACCGTTTCTTCTCCCAGTGTTAACTTCGCTCAAGGTGCTTCCGCTACATCATCTAATTTTTCTCCTACTACCTTTCATGGTAGTGGCTATTTTCAACGAGGTCGTGGTCAGTGTCGTCGAGGAGGTCGTGGAGGTCGTGCATCTGTTCAATGTCAAGTTTGTAATAGATATGGCCACACTGTTGCTCACTACTATCATCGTTTTAATCAGACTTTTGCTGCTCCGCCCCCTAATCACACCATGGGTTATTCTCCATATCAGCCTGGGGTTCTCTCTCATTTTCCTAATCCCTCACATCCAGGGTTTTCCCCCTTGCCTCGGCCCATGATGCCTCCCTCTCAGGCTCATTATCTGGCTTCTCAACCTCATGCTTATGTTGCTCAGTCTGGTTCAATGCTTGTACCCGCTCAACAATCCTAGAATTGGTATATTGACTCTGAAGCATCTCATCACATAACCCCTAATTCCACTAACCTTCAGAATCTCATCCCGCCTTCCACAGATGCTTGTGTCTTCCTTGGAAACGGACAAGGTTTGCCTATTCAGTATTCTGGTTCTGCAACTCTCTCTTCTTCTAATCCTTGTGTTCCTTTGCATCTCACAAAATTATTACATGTTCCCTCTGTTAATAAAAATCTTGTAAGTGTCAGTCGGTTTGCTAGGGATAACCATGTTTATTTTGAATTTCATTCCACTCTTTGTTTTGTTAAGTCTCAGGTTGATCACTCAATCTTGCTGACTGGATATCTTGGTTCGGATGGTCTCTACCAGTTTCCTCTCCTTCCGCTGCATTCCCAACCCGCATCTACAAATGTGTCAACTGTCTCTGATATTCCCCCTTCCTCTTCTGTTTCCACTGTACCCACACACACTTTCACTGTGTTTTCTCTTTGGCATAATAGGCTAGGCCACCCTTCTGTTTCTGTTCTACATAATGTTCTTCACCGATGTAATGTTTCCCTACCAAATAAAACTACTGCAGATTTTTGTGTAGCATGTTGTATGGGAAAATCTCACCAATTAGCTTCTCATACTTCCTTAACTTCTTACACTACACCTTTACAGCTTGTCTTTTGTGATCTTTGGGGTCCTTCTCATGTCAAATCTTCAATGGGATATCATTATTATGTTTCCTTTATTGATGCTTATAGTAAATATACTTGGATTTACTTTCTTAAACAAAAATATGACACTTTGAACGCCTTTAAACAATTCAAGACCTTTGTTGAACTTCAATTCAATCATAAAGTTAAGGAAATCCAAACTGATTGGGGTGGTGAATTTAGACCTTTCACTCAATATCTTACCTCTTTGGGTATTCATCACCGTTTGATATGTCCTCATACTCATCATCAAAATGGTGTTGTTGAATGCAAACATAGGCATATCGTTGAAATGGGTCTTACCCTTCTCTCTCAATCATCTTTACCTATGACATTTTGGGATCATGCTTTTCATACTGCAGTGTATCTCATTAATCGTTTCCCTGCATCAAATGCTCCTCATCCTATTCTCTATTGTACTCTTTTTAATAAAGAAATCAATTACCATTTTCTTAAAGTGTTTGGTTGTGCATGTTATCCTCATACTCGCCCCTATAATCATCATAAATTGCAGTATAGGTCCACGACCTGCACTTTCTTAGGGTACTCTTCGTGTCACAAAGGGTATAAGTGTCTTGACTCCAATGGTAAAATCTTTATTTCTAAGGATGTTATCTTTGATGAAAACACTTTTCCCTTTGCCACTCAAATTCACACTCCTTTGTTACCCTCTTCCTCTTCTCATCTCCTACCCCTTGGCATCCTTCCTAGTCCTATTCATAGTCCCACTCAGCATGCTACTCTAAACTCTCCAGTTGTTGTGTCATCTCCTATGTCTCAACCCTCTATTTCTTCTCCTCCTCCTGAGTCCCATCCTCCTCCTGTTCCTGTCCCTAATCCATCCTTAGCATTTGTTCCTAGTTCTTCCTCTCTTCCATCCACTCATCCAATGCAAACACGTTCCAAATCAGGTATTGTTAAGCCTTGTTGCTTTCCTACTTTGCTTTTCACTGTTGCAGAACCATCTACTGTTAAGCAAACTCTCTCCTTTCCTCTTTGGCGGCAAGCCATGCAATCTGAGTATGATGCTTTACTAGTTAATCATACGTGGAAACTCACTCATCTTCCTCCTGGTCAGACAACTATTGGTTGCAAGTGGGTTTTTCGCATTAAAGAGAATCTAGATGGTACTTTCAATAAATATAAAGCTTGTTTAGTGGCCAAGGGGTTTCATCAATAGTTTGGATGTGACTATTCTGAAATATTTTCACCTGTTATTAAGCTTGTCATTGTCCGTATTATTCTTACCTTGGCTCTCACCAAACATTGGTCTATTCAGCAGGTTGATGTTAATAATGTTTTTCTCAATGGCATTCTTCACGAAGATGTTTACATGACTCAAACCCCTGGTTTCGAGTCCACAGATTCTTCTCTTGTGTGCAAGCTTCAGCGTTCCATTTATGGTCTTAAACAGGCTCCAAGGGCCTGGTATGATAGGCTCACCTCTACTTTGTTTAGCTTTGGTTTTGTGCAGAGTAAGTGTGATCCTTCCCTATTAGTTCTTACCACTGCTGTTGATACTCTCTATGTTCTCATTTATGTTGATGATATAATACTCACGGGCTCATCCTCCACTCTTCTCCAATCAATCATCTCTAAATTACATGTTGTTTTTTCTCTTAAGCAACTTGGTGAACTTGACTATTTCTTGGGTATTGAGGTCAAACATCTCCCTGACAGCTCTCTCATTTTGTCTCAAACAAAATATATTCGAGATTTACTTCTTAAGGCTGGAATGGATGAGGCCAAGGGCATTTCTACTCCTCTTCAAGGTGGCTTGAAACTCATTAGATTTGGGTCTGATTATTTTGATGATCCTGCTCTTCATAGGTCTATTGTTGGTGCCCTGCAATATATTACTATTACTCGGCCTGAGATTGGCTACAACGTTAATAAAGTCTGTCAATTTATGTCTCAGCCACTGACTGATCATTGGAAGACAGTCAAACATATATTGCGCTATCTTAAGGGTACCATCTCCTATGGTTTACATCTTCATCCTGCTTCCAGTTCTGTCCAGTACACTCTTACTACCTATTGTGATGCAGACTGGGCATCTGAAATTGATGATCGAAGGTCCACCTCTGGTGCCTGCATTTTCTTTGGCAAAAATCTGGTTTCTTGGTGGTCAAAGAAGCAAACTCTAGTTGCTCGCTCAAGTGCTGAAGCAGAATATCGCAGTCTAGCTATTACCGTTTTTGAAATTTTGTGGTTGCAGTCCCTTTTTAAGGAGTTACACATTCCTTGTGCTACACCTATCATTTACTGTGACAATCAAAGCACAATTGCTCTTAGTCACAATCATGTGTTACACACGAGAACCAAACACATGGAGCTTGATATATTTTTTGATCGAGAACCAAGCTACTCTCTCAAGCTCGTTTCTCTCTTCTGCGTTCCAAACTCAAAGTCATTGACTCCTTCAATAACTTTGGATTTGTGGGGGACTGTTAGCATATACTATTTTCTCTTATTAAAATCCCTTCTGTTTTAGATTTTATTGTTACCATATCTTTTCTGTTTTGATACGTGAATTGGGTTGTTAACATTTTATATATTGTATTTTTTATTATATTATTTTAGGTGTTTTCTTTATATAAAGAACACTGTACATAATGATAAACAAGTAAATATTAAAATATCTTTATTTCTCCATCTTTCTTTGTCTCTATGAGTAAAATTAAGTTTATCAACCACCTTAATTAGATATCACCCATTCAGTTTATTTGGATTCGAGGGATTAAAATCAATTTTTTGAAAATTAGATCCGATCAGTTCAATGAATTTAATTAGAATTTAATTAGAAACGAACTAGAAACCAACCTATTATTTTTAAATAA